TGCTGTCATTTGTATCTCCCTATGAACTAATGCTGTTCATGATTTCTGTTTGTACTGATTGACATTCCTTTCCTTTTCAGTTGTCTGGTGTTTTGTGTGTGAGCACATGAGAGAGCATCCATGCACAATCCCAGTGTGCACATGGAGGTCAAAGGACAATCTCGGGTGTCACTCCTCAGCTACCTTGTCTGAGACAGGTCTCTCTGGTCATCTGACACTGGACTCCAGACAGACTTCTGGATATTCACCTCTCTCTCTCATCTCTGGACAGGAGCACGGGGATTATGGACCTATGCTGGCCAGTCTGGCTTTGCATGGGTTCTGGTCTCATCTCTGGACAGGAGCACGGGGATTATGGACCTATGCTGGCCAGTCTGGCTTTGCATGGGTTCTGGGATTTGAACTCAGGTCCCCAGTAATGCAAGGGGCCCTTTATCCCTTCAATCTTCTTCCCAGACACTCTCTTTTCTTTAGTTGAGCATCTACTCCTATCTTTTCCCTATTAAGGTTTCTTCTTTATTGTTAAGTTTTGTTTTTCTTTGTATGGCAGGGTCTTTCTCTGTATCACTGGCAGTCCTGGAAATTGCTATGTGGACCAGGCTATGAAAAATGGTGACTGTCACTAGCAGACCAAGAGAATCTGATAAACAAGCACACCCAAGTCATCTTCAGAGTCACTGCACTGTTATGGACGGATGTCTAAGGAACCAGCTGCCCTGTAACATGTGAGGTGAGAGCTGGGCACCTCATTTCTGTCCCGCCTGCCTGGTGACGGCTGCAGTGACTCACATGCCAATTACCCTGAGGTAGCTCCTGTCTTAGCGTCTCACATAGCTGCAGTCAGCCTGGCCTGGTGATGATAATGCCTTTAAATCCAGCACTCGGGAGGCATAGACAGGTGGACCTCTGTTACTTGCAGGCCAGGCTGGTCTACATAGCAACAAAAAAGATGTACTGCCTTTCCCTGGCCAGTCAGTGCCAGTCACCCTGCTCTGAGTGCCCACACATGTCACTTCTCTCATTGTCTTCCAGAGCCTCTGTAGATGTCACATGACACCTGCACAGACACAGACATGGAGACCAGAGCAGAGCTGCAGGTGTTTATTAGAATAAGCTTAGCAGACAGAACAAGGAGGGGACAGGTGTCTGGATTCCAACTTCAGGAGGGAGAGAGGACAGGGCAGCAAGATGGCGCTCGCATCAGCCATCATTGTACAAGGCTTGCAAAATTGGAAATGAATTCCACAAATTTGTGTACGGTGTCTTCGGCATAGTATTCCTTGCATGGTGACTGGACAGTGACTTCATGCTGGAAAACAAAAGGACAGAGAGGGTCTGAGGTGGTCACAGGCGAGGTGCACAACCTCTGCAAGGCTCCTCAGTCCCCGACGATGAGACTGCTCCTTGTCCACAGGGAAGAAAACTCCCTGCAGTGATTCATGTCTCCATAACACACTCTGCCCAAGGGAGCTGAGCTCATCCACAGCTGTCAGGAGGAAGTCTGAAAAGCCACCCTAGCCAGGCAGGGATGAAGGGAGAAGGTGCTGAAAGGCATGATGGGAGCTAGTCTGGAGAGTACACAGATGGCTGAGTGTTAGTTTTGATGGTGTCTCCCGTACCAGAGGACATCTGTGGTGACCATGTTAACAATACATCCCATGTGTGACTGTGTTAGAAGAAAATGTTTTTGGAGAGTGCTGTGGTTTGCAGGATGTGGTACTCAAAGCACAAACATCCTGAGGAATGCACTGTTCAAAACACACAAAGCTCCCTATACAAGAGCTTTGCTTCAAGAGCAGACAAAAGGGAATCAAGGAGCAGCTGTGGTGAGCGGCAGGGGGCACTCCGTGGGGGTGGGGGTGGCATCTAAGCCATGCAGGGAGGTTCTGGCCTAGCTCTGAGGATGCCAGTGGAAGGAGGGCTCCATCTGAGACAGGGGAGTAGAGTCAAGGGAGAAGGTGACACTGGCCAGTAGACAGAATTCAGAGACTTTAGACTAAGATGAGGGAGCCCCACCTGTGCATCAGTCAGAGCAAGGACCTCCTGTGTCCCTGCCTGCCCTAGTGTGGGGACAACCCGAGTTTACCCATAGCATGGGGGTGATTTGCAGGAGCTTGCTTACACCAGGCTGGCTGTGTACCAGGCATGCTGCATTGACATGTGCTAGGGTGGACACGGGCTTAAGTGCTCTGTTGTTCATCCCCCAAATATATTTTTGATTATATGAATCGCTTGTACATAGAATTGCACCATGTATGCATAGGGTTGGGGGCAGGGAGGAATTACCAGAACTGCTCCATCCAGGGCTTTGCCTTTCAATCCCAACTCATTGTAACATTCCTGGAGTTTGTCATAAGCCACCCTCTCCTGGGCAGTTGGGTCAAACTTGCTAATGAGGGCATTATTTACTCCCTTGTCGCCAGTGACCATTGTAGTATAGAGTTCAAAGTAAGGACCACAAGCTTTCGCTGAAAACATACAAAGAAAAACATCAGTAACGGCCACCAGGTGGGAGAAGCAGACATTCACATTTTCCAGCAACATCTACAAATGTCTAAGTGACCCTCCACACAGTCCTGCCCTCCCGAGGCTGCTGCCTCCCAGACACAGCACACAGTTTCCATAGACACGCACTCTCAGCAGAAGGGGATAAATGAGTGTACCA